CTGCCCGCGTCCCTGCGCGGACCGTGCAGCCGCGGAGCAGCCCCCGAAACCCCGGGGCAGCCGCCCTGCCCCTCTCCGCTGCCCACCGGGCTCTCCCCGGCGCCCGGGCGGCAGCGCCCGTCTCCCCTCCTGTCCCACTCCCTCCCGCTTCCTCGGTGGGTTTTAGCCGTAATTGCACCTTTCCAAGTGAAAACCCAGGGCGGGAGAAACAATGCACAAACGAAACAGAGCTGCCAGAGAGGGAAGAAACTCTATCGAGGCAGAAAGTTCCGCTGCCCAACAATATTTTTGTCTCTGCCTGCACAATGTTATCGTGTCCTGCGCCTTTGTCACGCCTATACGGCAAATATTATATTAATGACTTTGTTCAAATAGACAGTTGAAAAAAGGACCGGAGTATTAAAATCACTGTGAAATAGTTTGGGAACTGCATGGGGCAGACCGAGGCGGGGAGAAGGAAAGGCGGCGGTCCCCAGTCCCCACGGAGGCGCATCTGCCGGGCAGGGGAGAGGAGCGCTGCCCCACGCCGCGGACTCGGCTGCAGAGATTGTGCAGGGGCGGGGGGGAGAAAATCAGACCGCTTCCTCGGGTTGAATGAATTTGGGGAAGAAAAAGAAAAAGAAAAAGCCAAACTCTCAAACTACCCCTATTTTTCTTTTTTCTATCTCCTGTATCCGAGGAATGACAAAAACAAGAAGCAAAACGCAACTTTTCCCGTAAAAGCCGAAACCCCTTCCCTGCTCTTCCCAGCTCTCCCGGGAGGTGCAGGCCAGGGCTGTGCTGCAGCCTTACACGGTGCACGGGATGTGTGTGCGAGCACACGCACGCACGGACTGTTCCTATCGCGGGTGCACGGTGCACGCCCGGACAGCGAAAGGGGCACAGCGCCGTGCCGGGCGCCTACACAACGCTCGTGGCCAAACCCCAGTATATTTGCACAGTATATATGGCCAACCATATAGCCTAAGGATTTATTTTTTATGGAAACCCTTGGGATTTAGGCGTCCGTGGATTCTGCGGGCCTTTGTGTTGTTACTGCCGTGGAAAGGCGCCCAGAGAGGCCGCGGCCGAGCCCGGCCCGGTGCCACCCACCGTGCCCGGCTCCGCGCCCGCCG